CTGGAAGAACGCTTGATTATGCGGCTCTTGTCTGTTTTAGCAGAATACTGCCATCTAGTGGTAGCAGGTTTTCTCAGACAGTGTGTGGATCTTGCAAGGCGAAACCTGCGAATGAAAGTCTCAAAATCCAAATGAATCAAATAGGATCAACTCAGAAACGAGTCAATGAATGCACACGTGTCACCTCATCCACACATGCACATCTGACATCTTACTTGTTGCACGCACAAATTCTGGCCTACATTAATACAAAATTGAGCTTTTGTATTAACAAATATGTCTCTATTTGTACAAAATGCTGCACATTCATGTAATTCTGGATTTTGCACACACAAGTTGTATTTTATTAATTTTAGATGTAGCGAAGCACATTTGTGAATTTCTCAAATAAATTGGTTGCTGTGCACATATTAATAATTAGCACTGGGCCTATTCATTTGTAGTTGTTTGTGTGTGGGTTGTGAAATGCTTAAAAATGCGAAAAGAAAGTCTCAAAATCCAAATGAAATCAACTCAGAAAATAATTCAATGAATGCATGCATGTCACCTGATCCACACATGCACATCTTCTTTGTTGCATGGACAAATTATGATACATTAATGCAAAAGAATACATTAGTATTCCCGCACATTTCTTTATTTGTACAAATTGCTAACATTCATTCAATTTTGAATTTTTCACACACAAGTTGAAAGGCATGGATAAAACATTTCTGCAACATGTATCAAGTTCATTGATAATTGTGCTTGCACATGTTAATCATATTGATACTATATTCATCCCATATCTTCTAAATGTCTATTTGACATCTGACAGGAAACGTCCTATAGACATACAGTATTGCAGATGAGCAAACACTCTTAAAAATACGTCTTCCAGATGTAAACATCACCTTCACGAAGGTCTGTCGAGGCAGCCCTTGTTCCTCCATGGGAAATCGACTCCTGACTATCTCTCGACTCTTCTCTCTAACTACACATCTCTGAGACCTCAGCTCTACCTACTGCTCACGGCCTGACCAGTGCTCCGGCACTAGCTCGCCTGGGCCTCAGTTCTACGGCCTGGAGTGTCCTTAGAATGAGTTTCCATGAACGGACAGGGGCGCCATGTGCAATGGACATGCTGCCGTTGGCTCCTGGACAGGACCCCAGCGCCTATGGCATGTCAATTGCCTCGAGTTGCTGGCAGTACGTCTCGCTCTGCACCGCTTCCATGCACTGCTCCGGAACCAGCACGTACTAGTCTGACCAGACTATAACGGGACAGTTGCGTACATCTGGTCTACGCTCCTGCCGTATGTCGCAACTTGCCCGCCACCTCTTATGGAGTCAGAAGCATCTGAGGTCGCTTCGAGCCATTTATGTTCCGGGAATCTTGAACTGTGCAGCCGACAAGCTCTCATGGCTTCAGCCTCTTCCTGGAGAATGGCGACTCCATCCCCAGTTGGCAGCTGATTTGGGATCAGTTCGGGGACGCACAGATATGACACGACTCGTTCCACTGCGACCGGTTTTACTCCCTGTCCGAGGGCATGCTCGGCACGGATGCACTGGCGCACAGCTGGCCGCGGGGCCTGTGCAAATATGCGTTTCCCCCAGTGAGTCTTCTCGCACAGACCTTGTGCAAGATCAGGGAGGACGAGGAGCAGGTCATTCTGGTTGCGCCACACTGGCCCAACCGGACCTGGTTCTCCGAACTTGTACTCCTAGTGACAGCACCTCCCTGGACAATTCCTCTGAGGAAGGACTTCCTTTCTCAGAGACGGGGCAGCCTATGGCACCCTCGGCCGGATCTTTAGAACCTCCATGTATGGCTCCTAGATGGGATGAGGCAGGCTTGAGTCTGTTGGAGTTTTGGTTCCTTGCCACTGTCGCCTTGCTTTTGGCTTGCTTAGTTGGGGTTATTTAATATTTAACAATATTATTGATCTGTGTTGTACTACTTTCATGTTATCACTGTGAAGCTGCTTTGATACAATCTGTATTGTGAAAAGCGCTATATAAATAAATGTGACTTGACTTGACTTGACTTGACTTGAGTACCCTGCGACCAGCGGTGGCGGCTACCATCACTTCCGCTAGAGCGTCGTCCACAAGAAGTGTCTATGTGTTGAAGTGGAACCTCTTCGTCAACTGGTGTTCTTCTCGCTGAGGAGACCCTAGAAATTGCTCGATCAGTGTCGTGCTTTCCTTCCTGGATGATGGGTTGGAGTGAAGGCTGTCTCCCTCCACCCTGAAGGTGTATGTTGCCACTTAAATGCCCTGCAAAGTGCTCTCTTTGAGCCTCTGCAATCAGTCAAGCTTAAACTGTCTATTAAGATGGCGCTCCTGGTTGCACTGGCCTCCATCAAGAGGGTATGGGACCTGCACGCATTTTCCGTTGACGAAGCGTGCCTGGAATTCGGGCCGGCCTACTCTCACATGATCCTGAGACCCGGCCCAAGGTCCCTACCACTCCCTTCAGGACCAGGTGGTGAACCTGCAAGCACGGCCCCTGGAGGAGACAGACCCAGCCTTGGCACTGCTCTGTCCAGTATGCACACTCTGTGCTTACGTAGACAGAATGCGGTGTTTCAGGACCCCAGACCAGCTCTTTGTCTGTTATGGTGGGAGACTTAAGGGAAAGGCTCTCTCAAAGCAGAGGTTGTCTCACTGGATAGTGGACGTCATTGCTTTGGCTTACCAGCAGCAAGGCCGACTGTGCCCCCTTGGTGTGACGGCACACTCCACCCAGAGTGTGGCTTCCTCTTGGGCTCTAGTGCATGGTGCCTCGCTAGCAGACATTTGCAGGGCTGCAGGCTGGGCGACACCTAACACATTCGCCAGATTTTATAATCTTCAAGTGGAGCCTGTGTCCTCCCATACAGGTCCTTCTCAAAAAATTAGCATATTGTGATAAAGTTCATTATAAAGAAACAGTGGACTGCGTCTTGAGTAGAAACAGAGCCACCGTGCACAGGCGTGTGCAGGAAATGGGCTACAGGTGCCGCATTCCCCAGGTCAAGCCACTTTTGAACCAGAAAAAGCAGCAGAAGCACCTGACCTGGGCTACAGAGAACCAGCACTGGACTGTTGCTCAGTGGTTGCATGTCATTCGGAATCAAGGTGCCAGAGTCTGGAGGAAGACTGGGGAGAAGGAAATGCCAAAATGCCTGAAGTCCAGTGTCAAGTTCTCACAGCCAGTGATGGTCTGGGTGCCATGTCAGCTGCTGGTGTTGGTCCACTGTGTTTTATCAAGGGCAGGGTCAATGCAGCTAGCTATCAGGAGATTTTGGAGCACTTCATGCTTCCATCTGCTGAAAAGCTTTATGGAGATGAAGATTTCATTTTTCAGCATGACCTGGCACCTGCTCACAGTGCCAAAACCACTGGTTCACGAGTTCACATTTACATCAATTAAACAGAGTAAAGATTATGCGTATTTGGCGTGCTGTCCAGGGGGAGGGCTCCGAGCTCGGAATTTTTGCCCGAACCCAGAGTGCTCCCCCCCCTCGTTGTTGTAAGAGTATTTAGGAGAAGAAGTGAGGAGATGGGGTGGTGGTGGGATGCTGTTAGACTGTCAATGAACTGAGTTAATTTTGCTGTATATATACCTCTTACTTCATTGATTGGGAGTGCGCTCCACTCGTGTCTAATTAGGCTTGATTACCTGAATGTGCTCCACCTGTGTTTAATTCTGAACATGCTCCTCCCGAACTTTGTTAGTAAAACATCATTTCACGAGTTCACATTTACATCAATTAAACAGAGTAAAGATTATGTGTATTTGGCGTGCTGTCCAGGGGGAGGGCTCCGAGCTCGGAATTTTTGCCCGAACCAGAGTGCTCCCCCAAAAGCAAAAGGCAAAGGACAGCCGCCAGACTAAAGACCCCCAAAACGCAGAATTTTGGCGGGCTGGGTCCGTTTGAATTGCACCGTTCTTAGCGAGCGCATCTTACTGCGTCGAACGGGCGAGCCCTTACTGGCCTATGGATGAGGAACAGCTTGATTTATGCCGCCTGACCAGGAGGGCCCGTGTTGCCTCTGGCGGAAGCAGCTTACTGCGCTGGGCGGACGGGCCCTACTGGTTGACGAATGAGGGGTGACAAGATTTGGGGATGCCCAACCAGGAGGGCCCATGTAGCTTCCGACGGGAGCAGCTCACGGCGTCGGGCTGATGGGCCCTACCGGCTGACGGTGGAGTGTTTTGGAAGCCCAGACTGGAGATTTCTTGCGGACCGCTGGGAAATCGATACCTGTTAGATGTAAAAGAGAAACATAGATGAATGCCATATCCGCTTGGAGACCAATGCTCGCTTGGCAGAAAAAGAGGAAACATAGATGCATGCAATGTCCGCTGGGAGACCAATGCTCGCTGGACAGAAAAAAGGAAAGATAGATGCATGCAATGTCCGCTGGAAGACCAATGCTCACTGGACAGAAAAAGGAAACTTAGATGCTTGCAATGTCCGCTGGGAGACCAATGCTCGCTGGACAGAATCATGCAATGTCCGCTGGAGACCAATGCTCACTGGACAGAAAGAGAGGAAACATAGATGCCTGCAATTTCCACTGGGAGACCAATGCTCGCTGGACAGAATTAAGCAATGTCCGCTGGGAGACCAATGCTCGCTGGACAGAAAAGAGGAAACAGCTGCCTGCAATGTCCGCTGGGAGACCAATGCTCGCTGGACAGGATTATGCAATGTCCGCTGGGAGACCAATGCTCGCTGGACAGGATTATGCAATGTCCGCTGGGAGACCAATGCTCGCTGGACAGAAAAAGAGGAAACATAGATGCATGCAATGTCCGCTGGGAGACCAATGCTCGCTGGACAGAAAAGAGGAAACATAGATGCATGCAATGTCCGCTGGAAGACCAAAGCTCGCTGGACAGCAAATGCTTGCTGGACGGAGAAAAAGATAATATAACTCTTCTACAGGGAGAGTTTTTGCTTCGTCTGCTGGGAACTAGATCGCTGGATGAAGGAAGAACACCCAGGTGGACGACCCGGAGGGTTTTATTCGATGAGGGTTTGGTGGGCTTTTTTCATGTGGAACCGGTTGGTCCGTATGTAGCTTTGGAAAGCGTCTGAGGACCATCTTCCGAGAGCTTGGATCTGCTGCTGGGAGAGGCCTTTTTGGGCTGCTGAGGTTGCTGCTCCGATGCGGAAAGAGTGACTGGAGAAATGTTTTGCTTGGATGCCTGACTGTTGAAGAACGGATTTGAGATGTTTCTGGAACCAAAAGCGTGTCACGGGTTTGTTGGAGTCATCTATAAATAGGGGATCAAGAGGGGATTTAGCCTGGGAGCTTCTCCACTGAAGATATGCCTGAATGGATTGGTATGGTTGGATTGGCGATGAGAGTTTGAAGATGTAGATGAAATGGCCTTTTTTGGATTGGTCTGTCTTGCTTTGCTTGATCAAGTATGAGATGGTTTCACTATCCAGTACTGCTAAGTCTGAGATGGTGGGGTGGACTCTTGGGTCAAATTTGGAAGTGATGGCGAGTTCCGAGCATCTAAGAAAGCCAAAAAAGGCTAGAATAAACATAGCATCGCGTGTGCGGGCTGTCTCGAGAGGCTGGTAGACTGTGCGGAGGGCATGAATACATTTTGTGAGAATATCCAGTGTTATGGGTTGTCTGGTGTCAGGATGGGTGGGATGGGATCGTTGAATTCCTTTGACCAGAAGGGAGGTTTGTAAATTATTTATCTCTGGAGATGGAGCGCCGTACATCAGTTTATGGAAAAACTGGATGCCGCTCAGGTAACCTTTGATGGATCCAACTTGAAGGCCCTTAATGCTGTTAAGGTAGGAGATGAATGAGGTGATTGAAAGGAGAGAAAAATCAGGGAATGGCAAGTTGTATGAGAAGTGGAATGCTTTAAAACACCTCCAAGCTGTCACATAAGATTGGAGGGTCCTGGGAGAAACTGCTTGGAGGATGGTGTCCAGTCATGTGTCGAGGAGTTGTTTTAGAGGGTGGGTTACGGGAATATTAGTTCTGAATAGTGAGGTACTGGAGTTGGGAATTGGTCTGCCTCTGGAGCCAGCGTCCTGAATTTCTGACAGGATCTGTGCTCGGATGTTGTGGACACTGGGGGTGGCTCCGCAGCAACGGCGTTCGATGGGATGGGCATCTGAGTTGCTGTGAAGAGAGAGTGCTGAGATTTTGCCTGGAGAAGGGAGCTGAAAGGAACCAAAGCCGGGGCTGCAATTGTCAGCGGAGGCAGCCTCACGCTTGAATCGGCCTCTGGGGCTTGGGGAAGAGGGTTAACAGTATGAGAAGGAAAGGAAGGTTGAAACTGGGAAGAGTGGGCTCGTGCTGCAAGCGGAGGTAGCTGTTGCGAAAGCAGGTTGAAATGATTGGGCCTCCAATGCTAGCGGAGGCAGCCTCACACTAGCATCTGGGACAGGTGCTGGAGGCCACTGAAAAGAAGAGGGATTAGTAGCTGTTGCAAAACTATGTTGAAATGATTGGGCTTCCATTTCTAGCGGAGGCAGCCTCACGCTAGCATCTGGGACCGGTGCTGGAGGCCACTGAAAAGAAAAAGGATTATTAGGAACAGCAGGAGCCATGTTCTGATATGCTGAGGGGAGATCGGCGGGCCTGGTTCCAGCCAAAGCTGCAGCCTGCTGGCGAGGTTTGACGGCAGAAGGAACTGGGGCGCGGCCCAAGCTTGCTGAAGGCCTTCTGCTGCGGTTTGATGCTGGAAGAGAACTAGATTTAGTACGCTGGGATGGTGGTGTTGTCCAGCGAGGTGAATCCTGAGCTTTACTTTGCCTGCTGGTCCTTTTCGGGGCCGGCATGGACTTCGGAGAGAGGTTAGTCGATTGTAAGGATACATAGAGGGCATATAGTTCCGCTTTGTTCATCCTTCGCAAGAACTGAACATCCGAATTTATCAGCGCTTGCCTCAATCCTAAAACTGTCCACTTTCCAATTGGTGGAATTGTTGGGACTGCCGAGCGATAGGAAGAAGCAGGGGAGGGATTGTGATGTCTCGCTGGTGGAGGCGAGGGCTGGCCTCTGCGTCTAGCCGAGCGTGTAGCTGTTCGGGTAGGCAGGCGGCCGCGTGGAGAAGCCTGGGGATCAGTTGAAATGTTGGGCGGAGAAGGAGTGGTCCTTGGGTCAGCTGATTCTGGCTGAGGATCCGGTGAGAAGTTGGATTCGTCATCGATGGGAAGAGCTGGAGTTGAGACATGGTAGCAAAAAGGTCGAACCAATATGCTGTTAGACTGTCAATGAACTGAGTTAAGTTTGCTGTATATATACCTCTTACTTCATTGATTGGGAGTGCGCTCCACTCGTGTCTAATTAGGCTTGATTACCTGAATGTGCTCCACCTGTGTTTAATTCTGAACATGCTCCTCCCGAACTTTGTTAGTAAAACATCATTAAATGGTTTACAGACCATGGTATAACTGCTCAATTGGCCTGCCAACTCTCCTGACCTGAACCCCATAGAGAATCTGTGGGATATTGTGAAGAGAAAGTTGAGAGACGCAAGACCCAACACTCTGGATGAGCTTAAGGCTGCTATCGAAGCATCCTGAGCCTCCATAACACCTCAGCAGTGCCATAGGTTGATTGCCTCCATGCCACGCCACATTGAAGCAGTCATTTCTGCAAAAGGATTCCCGACCAAGTATTGAGTGCATAACTGAACATAATCATTTAAAGGTTGATTTTTTTTTAATTAAAAACACTTTTAGTGGTCGGATGAAATATGGTAATTTTTTGAGACAGGAATTTGGGGTTTTCATGAGCTGTATGCCAAAATCCTCAGTATTAAAACAATAAAAGACCTGAAATATTTCAGTTGGTGTGCAATGAATCTAAAATATATGAAAGTTTAATTTGTATCATTACATTATGGAAAATAATGAACTTTATCACAATATGCTAATTTTTGCATATTTCTTCAACCAGCCGGTACTAGGACCCGCTCAGGTGTCTTTGCTTGCTTGCCATTCCACTCCGCAGACTGGATATGTGCGATATTCTCCTCAGGTGAGCTTTCCTCTTTCCCCCTGAGCATAGACGTTGGGAACAGGGGGGCGGGAGGGGCGGCCGCCCCCCTCGAATGGCCGCCCCCCTTCCCCCGGCCGCCCTAAATTCACCTAAGCACGGGCGTCAGTTTGAAATTTTGCTGGGCACCAGGGGTGGAGCTACATGGTGGCCAGGGGGGGCCACGGCCACCATTGGTCAAGGCTCGGCCCCCTGCCGGCCCCCCTCTCCAACCTCACGAGAAAATAAATTTAATAATAATAAAAAATAAAAAATAAAAACTCCAGTAACGGTCTACAAAGGAAGCTGAAATGTATGCATTTTTTAATCAAGTCATTGATTTGTCACTTACGCTACAAGCCCCATATTAGCAATTATTATCACAAATAAATGGATGTTGCACTTAAAATGCAATGGTTTACCTAAATAAATTATCGCCTAATATGACAATTCATATTGTGTCTTTCTGTCATTTGCACTAAAAACATCCCTGTCTCATGTTAAGGTCCTAACCCCTCACATAATGATGACACATTGCACTCGCACATTTATCAATTAGACATTATTAGTGTCGGGAGTTCAATCCATTGTTTATGGCCTGACGAGCCACGTGTGAGTTTTAGTAATAGTAGTTTTTGACAATCAAGTGCCACCCCAAATAAAAGACTGGCACAAGCTGGCCCCCCAGAAATAATGTCCTGGCTACGCCCCTGCTGGGACAGAGACACGTTCGGAAGTGCTGGGTACAAACTTGTCAAACTGTGCAGCCTTTCTATTCAACCCATAGATGAATAAATCGATCCGCCATATTTCATTTGACTGTTTGAATGCTCTAGTGGTAGCTCTTTTGCCAGAGTGCCAGAGGTTACGGGTTCTAAATCCGGCCTTGGTACAGTTTTTTTTCTCTCTCATCAAAACAGAATATGTCCATCTGTGGTTACAGTCAATATCAAGCATAGGACACATTTATTTTGTGATTTTACCGGAATGAATAGAGTCTCCGACGTAAAGGCGATTAAAGTGCGCGTCCGAGTGAAGACTGCGCGCCACAGAGAACATAGCCTACAACTGACAGCAGCGGCAACAAGCGTTCCTCTTGATTTCAAAAACAAAACATTTCAAGCGCTAGATCTCTTATTTAAACGAACTAAATTAATGCTCTGCTTAACAGGATATGTTTTATTCATGTTTAAAACGTTTTATTTTCCGATATATGGTGACTCAAGCACTGATGGATCAAGGAGCGGTCCATCAGTCACCATAATCGGAAAACATGGAATGAGTCAGACATAGCCACAGTACTTCTGACTTATTATTATGTTTTTTAAAAGAATTTCGTTTTTATAAATTGTATTTAATTTTAATCAAGGATTTTAATCAACAAGTTGACTGATAAATTCTCAGAAAATGGATTTAATACCAATATTTTGAAACGGTGCGTAATCCCCCACCACGGGAATTCCGTCCCCCCTCTCACAAAAATTCCAACATCCCTGCCCCTGAGTTCCTCCAGCGCCGTTGACACTGATGCCAGTGTCTATTGCCTGTGTGTTGGCTAGGTGCCTTCCATGTTCATGGTTCCTCCTCTGAGTAACCACATGTGTTTTTTACACTGTAAGCCTCCTTGAGCATGTGTCTTTCCTCGGCAAGCCACCTTGCCACTCCTGGAGTTGAAAGTTGCCACCCCACGGGCTGGTTACTCACTCAGTGTTCCTCCATATGAAGCCCCCCTAACGGGCCATATGTGACCCGCTCTGGCGAAATGAGTCGGAAGTCGCAACGTTCCATTTTAAGATATGGGCCGATTAATGTGGAAAAAACAATGAAATAAAAAAAAAAAAAAAAATTTGTGCTAATTTCAAAGAACAGACATTCAAAAATAATCTCCCAGAGTTTCGTAGTCCAGATAATTGAGTAAAGGTATTAAAATAACGATTAAAGTTGTCAAAGCTTTAAATTCGCTGAAATAAACATTGCTCTTCTCAACTCCCCTCGTCACCTCTGAGCATTTCCCGGGTATCCCCTAAAACGTTGAACTCACTGGAGGCTTCTAACCTAAGCTGTGTGAGTATATTTATCTGCAAGAAGAATATAGGCTGTAACGATCGCGACACGATCAGATCCACGAACCTGTGTCGCGTTGTGAGAAGACAGAATCACGACACCAACACGTCCCTTCAACTCCCGAAGTTATTCCTTCACGTCCAGACCCAATGCTAGCACCACATCTTTAAATTACTATTAGTATTTTTGAAGTTAACATTATAAAATACGTAGACTTACACCACAAACTAGTTAAATTATTACTAAATTGTTTAAAATTGGGCAATTTCAGCGTTATGGAGGAGATTCCATAATTCCCAGATAATTAAATCTTTTAATAAATTGGCCTATGTGAACCACTGCACAAACCAAAGTACTCACCGGATGAAGAACGGTTGACTCTCTCCAGAACATAAAA